CAGACATCAGGGAGGGGGAAATCATGTTCCCTGTTAATTTGTTCCTGTAGGTGAAAAACTTCAGAAAATACTGTCTCTCTCCTTACTAGTTATCAACTGCTTCTTAATGTTGGAGCAATTAATTACATGATGCGAAGTAAAAAGAAGAAAAACTGTGTAGCTCTTGGGCAAAAGCATTCCGGAGAATTGTAGTGATTCATCTCTCTCATGTATCTCTCTCACCACAGTATTTTCAGGAATGCCTAATAGGTGAAGCCAGCTCTACTCTTTAGGAGGAAGGATGTAGTGTGCTAACTGGCAACCCAAGTACTGGCTGCCGAATTTCAGTGCAGCACTCAGGACTCCAAATAGAGATAACATTGTCTTCAAAAGTAATGTTTAAGCAGCAAGTAGGAACTTCATACATCTACTGTAGGTAGAAAAAAAAGGAGACACTGAAGGGTTACTGCTCTTATACAATAGGCACTACTTCCTAGTAAAAGAAATGTCTTTCCATAAAGACTCAATTTCCATAAAGACTCAATTTCACTGATATATGAACCTACATGAGGCTCTTATTGCTCATAAATAAATGGAACATATTCAGTTGACTCCAAAGAAGAAATCTGTCCTTTCAAAAGGTACTTATTTCCTCTCTGATTATCTTATGTAATAATAAGGTAGCTTCTCACAGTGTCTTGGGAAACCTAAGGAAGTATACCAAGCAACAAATTAAAACTTTCCTAACTTTCCTTCTGTTTTAGGTTTTGGTTGTTTTTTGCTTTTTTGCCTTTTTTTTTTTTTTTTTTTATTTAAGGGGAGTAATGCTTTTGCTTAGAAGTTTTGGAATTACCTCGCATTTATGAAAAGCCATACAAGTCAGGCTTGCCATTAAAAACTTCAGTTACAAAATCTTGGTCCTTATGATCAGAAAGGCAGAAGAGGCAATGAGTTATACCAACAAATGGACCGAATAATCTCCCGTATCACTTGGGGCAACTAAAATGTTCATTTCTGAGGTGAGCTCGCACAGACTAAGCAAACTTACTGGGGGAGAGGGGAAGAAAGAAAAAAAAGAGTATTATATCCAGTTAATTTCTAGGTGACAGCAAATCTCAATATACAGACGGGAGAACACTGAATTTTATTCCGTTTAATTTAAAGCTCATGTTTAAAAACACATCAACAGACATGTAACTATTTAATGCAATATTTCACAATCTCCAAGTGCATAGATGCAACTTGCTCACAGACATAAAATGCCTATTCAGGAAAAAAAAATCATGAATTTGGCTCCGGGTGACAAGATTTCTGATTAAACTAAATATGTAAGGATGCGAAACCACAAAACATAGTTTTAACATGCTGGAATCACATCTGTAAGTGCAAGGCTTCAAGATTAATCTGGTCTGATCTGTTAAGTGCTTTTTTAGAGAAAAGCAGGAGTGTGATAATTCTGTGACCTACAGGAGTGACCTATATGGAAGTTCTATGTTCCTCTTTCACTGATGAACCCAACATGTCAGCCAAAACTTGAAACAAAATCATGCCAGATCCGTAAGATCTTATGTAGCTAAACTTAAATGGGTAATAAGATTCTTGACAAATTGTTTAACTCAGACTCTAGGTAGGTGAAATCTTGTATGTATACGTGTATTACATGAATCTATCTTTTTTCAGCTCCAGCTGAAGCTGAAGGCATCACTTTGTCCAACAGCTAATTTCAGAAGAGCACACCTCTTGCCAGTTAGTGAACTTTAGCACTCCTGATGTACTCAAGACAGTGTTCTGGCACTAGAAAAATCTTTGCTTTAGCAGGGAAAAGGAATCACAATCCAGCCAGCAAAAGACATTGTATGATATGGTCTTAAAGGCTGAAAGTTAGAATTGGAAGTTGGATGGTCTTAGAAGTTGGAAGATACTGGAAATTAATTATTTTTGGGGGTGGTGGAGTAAATGAAGAGCAATGCTTTACAATTGTTCAGCTAAGAAGTAAAAGGTGATCATTACTGACAGTATTTATGGACAGAAAGGAACAACAGATTATGAAAAGTTTGAAGGGAAGACTTAGCCTCTTGGCCTAGAATACAGAAAACAAGTATCACGAAAACATGACTCCTCCCTAAAAGAAGTGATTTATTTCAAAATACTCTAATGTTTAAACAACAGAGCACAGAAGTTCTGCAATATGCTCAAGGAAAGTACCTGAAAAACAGTAATACTCATCCTACCCCCATTTTTAATTCCAAAGTGAGATATGCTGGCTCCCTACTTGATTTTCTAAAGCAAAATAATGAAATACTTGCAAGCACAAGTTCTAAAATAATGCTTTAAATTCTATAATTCTGTACTTGGGAAAAAAAAAAGAAAGCAGCTTTTCATTGTAACAAAATTCATAATAGAAGTTCTAATTCCTTGTATGTCCAAAGGAAACTGGAAACAGAGACACAGCTCCTCCTTTCCCACAAGCAAGCCAATGTTTTACAATGTCTTTATTCCCTCACACATCAGAAATTAAGATAGTGAACTTAAACAACAGAAGGTTAAAATGGTTGAGATTTGGGGGTAGGGGGGAGAAGAGGTTGAGTTTTGCTTTTGTTTTTCTAAAAATACATGGTTGACATACTTAAGAAATCAGCACAACGGGAAACAGATACCTTAGCTACTTTCCTCCAGTTAAGACAGTCAAAGAAGTAATATGTTCCCCTCTCGTACGTATTGGTTTTCATTGTTGGCTCCATGCCGGGTGCCCTGGTGATCCATACTCGTTCTTCTTTGTGGTATCTCCAATCCCGGTTAAATCTTTAATTTTCAATTAGAAGGAAAAATAATTTTTAGTGTTAGCTATCTGAATGTGACTTAATAAACAAAAATTTTAAGGGTTTCAATTAAAATTGCACAATATATTAAAAAGCAAAACAAAATTTTTAAGACATTGTTACACCTGTGATCTCATACCTCTTCCACAGATTTATTACATCTCAAACTAATCACATATGAAACTTTTAGAAGTCGGGTAGGTTAAAACAACACACTCATACGATTATTTCCTGGGTTTTGTTTTGTTCGAGACAGTTACATTACATGCTTAATAATGACTGGCACCTGCCACTTTTTCATAGCACTTCATAATAATGCAAAGTTCACAGACAAGCTTTTGATTTCCACTATACGAATGAAACAAAATGGCACAAAATTGAACCAAGGTTGGAGGAGGTTTTTAAAAGAAAAAAAATAAAGTTAAAAGTTTTCCAGCTTTAGATTGACTAAGCTTTTGTTTTCAGTTTCTGACTTGTTGGGTTTGGGTTTTTTACATCTATTACTTCATTACTGCAATACATTAAATCATAAAAGACTGACAAAACAGTTTGAACGTACAGCTCTACTGCTGCTAATAGCTGTAATACATCTCCTCCATTCATGTAATAGAGATAAAACAGGAGATCTTCTCCATATCGGCCAAGTTTTATTGCAGCCAGCTGCAAAAGATTGAAGAAAATAAGGATGAAAAATCACAACAGATAAATGTTTTAAGACATACTATCCCACTTAAATAACATAAGGATACATCCAGAATGTGCTTCCATGCTATGTATGTTGCAAATGATACTCTAATATAACAAGAATAATAATTATTAAACCAATCCAGTTTTCTTAGATTTTATAGTTAACCTTTACAACTTGAAGGATACAACAGAAAAATAAACAGAAGTAACAAACTGGCAAGACAGAATTTTCTGCCTTTGTGTATCCTCAGCTACTTTTTATTTAACAAAACAACCAACAACATTTACTTGTATTTTCCCACTTCAAAATCTATTAAGTAGCATTACAAAAATCTCTTACAGTATTTCTCAATGATCACTCTTACAGAGCTGCAAAAGTTGAAAGGAAACATATCTATCAAAAAAATCCCAATTCATGTAGATATGGAATGCAACAGATAAATGTGAGAATATCTTGAACTACAATTCTGACCTCACCTCTATAGAAACATCTTGATTTAATATGGCATTTGAAAATTACAGTATATGGGCTGTAAGAAACTTTTGCTAACCATGCCCATTCTCAGTTTTGTCTTCCCTTTTTTTAAGGTGGAATGGGTGCATGATGCGTCCAACTAACCAGTTACTGCACCAGTGTCCTCCAGACAACTGAGGACAACCCGCACTGATTTTGAAGATTAATTACGTGTAAAAAAAAAAATCTAGAAAATTACTATAATAAATTAACAAAAAATACACACATACACACATACTCACCTTATCCCTAATGTGAATGTTAGTTAAGTATTCAGATGGAACATGGAAGTCTAAAAAAGAATCGGAATTGATGAAACTATTAAGACATGTAAATGAATAGAATTTGCAAATATTAATATTGAATGAAATAGTTATTTCTCTGTTACCTATGTCTTGAGGTCGACAAGGTGATGAGGCCCAGGGTGATGCAAATTTGGGATAAAGATTTCTGAAAAAGAGAAGCACAAGCTTAGTAAAATTAAAAACAAAACCCAGCCCAACCAACCACAAAAACTCCATAACCAGCCATACAAGCCTAAAAAACCACATCATGCAACCAAAATCACTAGCTGGGGAGAGAAGGAAAGAGAAAAGGAAATTAGGTATCTGCTTTCCTATAACAGTTACATTTATTCATTTTCTTTTTAATATGCAGAGTAAAATTGCATTTAAAGTGTCACGGGAATCTACAAGGTTAAGATTTCCTTTTTCATCTATCATTCTTTCAACTTGGGTGCCAGGGATCCCAACCCATTCCAGGGATCCAATTTTACACAGGGTTTCAACTTGCATAGGAACAGCTGCCACAAGCTTGCTGGGTTCCGATTTATTAGCCTAGCATTTAAAAGGGAAGGAAAAGCTTATACTGGCAGATTTTACTTTTCTTTTAAGCTAACTAGTAAAGATTTTACTCTTCTTCTAAATTTCAGTGTTGACAAATAAATCAAATCTCAGGACAACATGAACATAAGCTTATTAAGATTTAACATTTTTCTTTCACACAGTTTTTGCTACCATATTTTTAAAAAGGAGCCATTAGTTTCATAAAGACAAAATTATGAATCTTCCAACTCCACTGCAGTGACTGAAGTACCAAGGAACTAATTTTCTAATTAACAGGTAAAGAACTGAAAAAAAAGGGATTGAGCAAAACCTACTTTTGTCAGATTAATACAGCCTGCTTTTAATTATCCATGACAGCACACTATTATGGCAAGTTTTGTAAATGAAACTTGAGTATGGTACACCTTATCAAATCTTTGTTTCCTTCTTGTCAAAGACCTAATAATGACTATAAGAATACTGAAAACCTATTAAGTCACCTCAACAACCAACTCCCAGCTGAACTATATAGGCCAAAGGCTACACTGATCAAGTGGTGTCCATCTCACTTCAGAGCAACTAATCTTACTGTTGGCGAAAACTTCTGCTTTACAGCCTGAATGAAGACTCCGGTGGCAAAAATCTGCAGATGTTGAGAAAAGAATGAAACTATTCTTTCTACTGAAAGCATGGATAAGTGCTATCCCAAGAAGAGGAATGTCATGTGTGCTCTAGAAGTCTGGCTCCCTAGGGCAAAGAACCCAGGATTTTACAGAGATAATGCAGTTAAAAAAAAATAATAATGAAGTGTTTGTGCACAGTGTTCCCTCTACAATACAAACAAAACTCAAGTACTTCAACATTTTTCAAGGAGGCATTGGACAGCCTACACTCTGTTTGACGAACATTTCAGAAAGCTTCAGAACCTGAACAAACAGCTACATGATCTCTAAAGAATTAACCAAAGTAATGCCATCTTTTTCATTTTTATGTATCAGTTTAAGCTATCCTAAGGAATAAAAAGCATATTTCTTTACAAAGATACAGGACTATAAAGCAATACATAATCATTTCTTCAACAACCAAAATAAATCTTAACCTACCTGCATAGAAAATCTATATAAAACCAGGAGTTATGGGGATTAAAATTCAAATCATTAGAGCTACATACAGAATTCCAAATTTTTATTTTTAAGAAGCACATTTATTGTGCTGAATGTTTAAGTCAGACAGGTACTTTTACCATCAGAAGTACCTCACAAGGCAAAAATTCTGGCTTTCCACCTGTGAAATGCTTTTACTTTTCCAAATGAAAATTCATAAAGCAAGCAAAGGATGTTTAACAGAAGGCAAATGGCAAGCCAGACACTGAGGACTGCACAACCTGTCTGAAAAGCTTTTCTGTAGCATAAAGTAAAAACAACTTTCTGATATAGAACTGTCTGCATTAAATGTTAACTCCATCCCCTCCATCCCAGACCCTAATTACCCTATTTAGGGTTATTAAATATTAATTAAAAATCCAGCTATTTACAGGACAGCTGCTGAAGAAAAGCAGCAAGCAGCATGCCAGGTACATATACCATCCATATACAAGCACACACTAATAATTTGGATGCTGCCTGTATTCAGAAGGTGCATAACACCTGGTGAGGCACTGGAATAGGTTGCCCAAGGAGGTTGCAAATGCTCCATCCCTGGCAGTGTTCAAGGCCAGGCTGGATGAGGCCTTGGGTGATATGGTTTAGAGCGAAGTGTCCCTGCCCATGGCAGGGGGGTTGGAACTTGATGATCTTAAGGTCCTTTCCAATCCTAACTATTCTATGATTCTATGATTGAAAACAGCTACAAGTTACCACGGCAAAGTATGTTTAGCATTCCTCTGCAGTGAGGTGCTGCATAAACCTGTGAGATTTTATGTAGACTTTCTAATAATGTGTTAAGTTTAAGCTTTATGTTAGTCATTAAAACTAATGAATAACATTTAATAAAATACCAAAAATATTATCACTACTCCTATTTTGCATACCAACACCTGAAGAAAGTAGCTGCATAACCAAACAATGTAACTGGATTCCACCTGTGCTAAGAACAACTAGAGAATTCAGATACAGATGTACCTGAAATTATTTTAGTGAGCAAAGACATTCTACTTTCAGCTGATCAGCTCAAATTAAATTTCAGCAATCTGTACTAAGAACAGTAAATTACTTAAGTATTGTGTAGATCCAGACCAGTCTCCCTGTCACTGCTGTAAACCCTGGACTACCAAGGAGAAGCAGCAACCCCAGGCCAGCATAACTGTTCTTTATGCATTCTTTTTATGTTGTGGGAGAAGTGATGGGAGTGGGGAAACTACTGGATTCAACAGAGAAGTGACCTGCAAGACTAACACTATAGTGAAGAAGAGACTATGTTAATGTAACACGTTCTGCAAATAACTACAGACAACTAATTTAAAAACTATTTTGAAACAACTGTCCTAAGTGCCAGTGGCATACCAATTTGACTAAGGTTTGATGTAAGCTCTACAGAAAAAATTTCTGGAAGTGACAATTTCTAAAAGTTCACATCTCTAGAAAGAAATATATATTTTAATGCCAATTATTTCAAGTGGGAAAAATTAGGAACCATTTTTCCCGTGCTTTCCCTTTCAACTTCATCTCCACATTCAGCAATCTTTCCTGATTGTATGAAGCTCCATGTAAATTTGTGAAAAATGGAAACTGTGCATGTGTATGCTGTTTGGTCTTTCGTTTGTTAATATTTTACATGCAAACCTTAAGATACATGCACTATTTTGTCAATAAGGCTGACATTATGTAAAAATCTGCTAACAGAATGATGGGAAATTATCAGCTGAAAGTCAAGAATATCAGACATTAAATTTCTCTCGCTGTTACAGTCACCCAGAAGACACCCGTTTTGTCCAAAATGACGTAGGTTCCTTCTGTAACTAGCAGAGAAAGACAGAGACACCCTGGGCTAGTGATTCATCTCACCTATCTTAAGCACTTACCATTAGTGTAGTAAATAACTGCTCTCCTCCCTACTGCCTCTACAGGAAGCCTAGATGAGTAAACTTTAGTGAGCTGAATGACTAAAAGTTAGCTATAAAACTACATTTTCATTTAAATTAATATTTGGTGCAGATGCTCTACTCATTATTATACTAACATAAATCAAATTTACCTCAAGGAATACTATTATTTGAAAAATAATGTATACATGAAATTATTAAAAACTCACTGTCAATTCCATGAAGAAAGTTCTAAAGAAGTTATGAGAACAAGCAAAGCCACTAGGTTTACTGAAAGCTCACATAACAAGATCTCGGTATGCCTTGAAGCACAATTCTTTTGTTCATGAAAATGTTATTTTACTGTTGTTACATTTTCAAATCTTATTGGCAAAATATCTAGTGGGTTTGATAGTCATGTGAGCCTATTGTGAATGACAGCATAATAAAACTAAAACTGAAGATAGTATTAAAAAACAGCAACTTACTCAGTCGAGTTGAGATTGAGACCTAGTGTTGTTAAATCACTTCCTAATGCAAGATGTACCATTCCTGGATCTGTCTCTGCTGCCCTGATGAATGTTAACAAGCCGATCATTCCAAACTGGTCCGTCACCATCCCTTGAGGAATGTTGGTAACCCGACCTGGGCAAAAAGAACAAATTAATTTTATCCTTTCAAGAACTGGAGGAATCAACAAGGTGATCTAAATGACTGTCAAAACTTTTCAAGAAGAAAAAGTGGAATGACACATACCATCAGGTAACACCTGGATCCCTTTTTTCTGCTGGTTGTTGTTTTGCGTAGTTGAACTTTTGTCTCCAGGAAACTTGGGCCCATCTGTGCTGGATGATGTTTTGCCTGATGTACTCAAATTCTGAGAAAAATGATTTGCAGAGTTGGTATGATGGAAACAAGCCAAAATGAAGAAATCCGTTGACCATATCTTTCAGTCAAGCACTCCAAACCAGTATGTCAAGTCACTCAGTAAATTAGGCACTAAAATGGAACCAAGCTGAAGCTCTTTTTTCTGACAAACCTTATGTAGTGTTTACCACTCCCTAAAGTATACCCGTCATACAGTAGTAACTATTAATGAGCCAACAGCTTACAGTCTAAAAGGATAAGAAATGTTTTACACCTGAGCTTGAATACACAATGGATATCCCAAGTGTCTGTGACTACACGGTATTTTGGACTCATCACATCATAAATTTTTCACCATAATTTTACTCCCACATAACATTCCAAGACATACCAACAAATAATAACTCAAGCTAATTTTAGGCGCAAGAAACATACAGTTGGCACATTTGCAATCATCAAGAGATGTAAACAGTATGTCTGTCAAGAAAACTGTGATTGCGCTCCAAGAGCCCAATCTCCGTAATTATTATTTCTTACTCTTTACTATTCTTTAAAACAAGTCTGCAGTAACGCAGCATCATCACATTTACTCCCTCCTCCTTTACTGTATTCAGTGTATATATATAATTCATATATATATAGCTATATATGAAATGCTGCTTATGCAAAATTTCTCACTAATTCTGGGGGTAAATTTGAAAATTTTATAGTACAAATATAGTCAGCGCTCACGTTAAAATATAATCAAAAGTAATACACACACCCAAAAGAATAAGGCGTACTTACGGATTTATTGTCATCATTACTCGATGTTGGGTCTTTGTAGCTGGAGCCTGGTAATGCTGGAAAATCTTCATTGTGTATTGAAAAGTCCTGGGACTGCTCACTTGCTGGTTTTGTTACCATTCCAACTATCATCAAAATGAGAGCAGGAATAACATGAAATGACTGCTAAGTAAAGTATTTCCTGCTGTTGATCTTGCTTACTGTCCATTTTTACCATGTGCAAAGTGTACAGCAGAAACAGCTTTCAAAAAAAAAAAAAAACAAACAACAAAACCAAAACCACCAAAACTCAAGTAAACCAAAACAAAGCATATTCATTTAAAACATCCACACATATTAGACTAAAGCCTCTTATTAAGTGTGAGCTAAGAAACACTCTGGGTTAAATTCATAGACACATCCACTGCTTTAAGAACGAAGCCCAGTACTTTTACCAGGAACAGCACCTGTTTTGCATGTCTGAATAATCAAATCATCTTTACAGGCATTATTCAAGCGGTATTTAAGTAAATCTACCGATGAAGGAAGGACATACTGCTTTTACGATTGTAACACATTTTTCCTCCATCCCCTAACTGCATGAAGAGTTTCTTAGCATAATCTCCTTAGAAGCACATATTCTTAAAGGACGCCATCCATTGCAACAGAACATATCACCAATGAAATACTTGCCTGTGACATAAGAACGACTCCTACTTTCAGTTCAGTATGAAAACTGAAAGCACTTAGCCTGCAACTCTCAGTGCTCTGACCCTAATTTAAAAAAAGTAGGCCAGTCACATTGGAACATGGATTCCTACTACTGAAAAGCAACCTTTTTTTTTTTTTTAAAATGCCAGTTTAAAAACCCAAAACCAAACCAAACCCCCAAACCACCCAACATCAAGGAAAAGCCCCCACACCACGCACCCAAGGGCAAATACTCTGCTGTGAAAAGACAGAAAAGTATTACAGTGATTTGTTTGCAAACAACATTGCATTAGAGGAAGAGAAAACAGAAGGACATCTAGGGCCTGTTTTTCAAAGATTCTTAATAGCTGTGTAGGATCTAAAATAGTTCAGTAGATTACTTATTAGTGTAGTATTCTGAAATTAGAGATAAAAGTTCCTTTATTTCAGAAAAAAAACAAAACAACCACTGCGTTAATCTGGTTTCTGCTGTTCACCCTTTTCACCCAGAGTTATTCCCACTTCTTCCACTGGATGAATTAAAACTGATAATGAAATAACTGTGTTGCACACTCTCTATCTAAAAGCTATCTGAAGTCTAATTTTCCTGAATAACCTAAGCACGAAGAAAGTATGTCTCTGCCCAGTTTCAAACTTTCTTCAACTTTTTGTTCCTGAAGACAGTGTCCAGTGCACCTCATATCCCCATTGCTTGATAGTTTCTACAAACATAACCATCCCCTGCATTAAACAGATGCTCAAGATAATTATTCAGATAGAGAATTTTCTTTCCTGGTTCACCACACCATTGTGCAAACAGCTACTCTAGCACCAAAATGGGGAAAGCATTTAAGCACAGAAGCAATTACTGATTTTTTTTTTATGCAGCGGTGCTCCTGAATGTTGAACACCAGCTCCATGTTGGAACTGTATCTGTGTGGATCTCCTTCCTATCTTCTATCAATTGCCTATGTAATGGCTTTTTCACAGACAGACAAGCTCTCATGCAAAACACAAGCCATACTAGCTCTCCACTCTCAGTGTAACTTTTCAGTCTGGGATAGTGACTTCCCACTGTGTGTGTTTAGCACTTCATTTTAACTCACTCGGCTCTTTCTCACCACCACCTTAAGCAGAGAGCCCTGGTTATGCCCAATCCATGAGGTTACTTCCTCTTGATAATGCAGTATCTATTATTTCTCTCCCATTAAAGTTGGAGACATCTTTGGAAAAAAAACTACCTTTTTTATAGTTAGAAAACACTGAGTTACTTTTTCTTGGAAGTTTTACAAGTATAAAAATAAATTTCAGTAATAAAAGCAACTTTTTAGAGTAGCTGATGCAACATGCATGACAAAATCTACAAAAGCAGTGACAATAAAAAAGAACTATTGTGGCTCAGGCTAAGCTTACCTGGTATTTTTCAAGACCCACCTTAAAGTTTTTCCTTTTGTTATTTTTTTAATCTGTTCAGCAGTAACTATATTAGACACAAACTTGGAATCTGACTGGCAACACTTCATGCTTACATGTTATTTTTTTTAAATCTGAGGTCCATCATAAGAGTGACAGTGAATACTACAGCAAGTACTACCAATAAATGAGACAATATGTATGCTTACAGCTGCTGACTTTTGACACGGTAACACCTGTAGTAACCAAATATTATTTCTAAAATTTACTATTCAGACCTTGATGGTTCTTGTGCACATGCACTGAGAAAGCAAGCTTTTACCCAAGAAATGTCTAGGATGAGTAGCTTCAGAGAAATCATACTGTACAGGCCAAAACCCCCCAACAGCTTCTACTGAAAGTAAAACTAAAGCAGATGAGTTCCAATACTAGAAAATCCTGAGGGGTATTTCCAATCAGAGACATTTATTTTTTTTTAAATGAGACTTAGAAGCTCAAGTGTCAGCATTTTTTAGAAGACTACCTATTGATTTTTTTGTTGTTCGTAAGACAATCAAGCAAATACCAATTTCATTCAAAGAGTTTTCAAAACTATAGTCTTACCATAGGGCGCCCTTCCAGCTAAAGGGTTTATTAATGGAGTTGGATTGCCACTTCCTTCCCTTCTGTTTCTGTCTGCTAGTGCTGGAAAATCTGAGAGGTCCAGTCCTGTCACATTTTCACTTCCATCTACAATAAAAACAGGTATTTTAAATTCCCTTAAGCTTTTTCACTCTAAGACTTCATTATATACAAGATAAATGTAGGATATATCTTCTTTTTTCAAGGTGATTTTTTTACTCTCAGTATAATTATTACAAATAACTACAGCCTCTGTGTTATGAGACTAGTCTGAAGAGCGTCAAGGTGTGTAGGGTTTGTTTTTAAACAATAGCTAGTCAACAGCATTTAGTTACAAGGTCTACTCATTTTGAATTACAGACTGCATGTGTAAAATACAGGCTATCAAAATTACAATACTAGGATAGGTAGCCTGTTTAAAATTTAAGGAGGTACCAAGAACAAATTTGAGAGAATAACCCATATTTGTAGAAGCGTCAAGGAACTATTTTGTCCTTAGATAAGGTAAGATAAAGCTGAAGCAGCTGTGAAGCCAATGCAGTGCAAATTGCATGGGAACATTTTTTGATTTGCAACAGAAAATACTACATAGGCCAAGCCAGAGTTGCAAGTCTATAATGATGCCACAAGGTCCCAAGGGATTCCCAAACCCTTCCACTCTGTGATGTCACCAGCACCTCAAGTTCCTTCATATATACAGCCACCTACAGAAACGTCAGCATGGACAAACCTAAGGCATTTATGAACAAGGATATTTTCCCCTCTTTAGTTCATTAAATTTAGGTGAAGAAGCAATTGCCAGACAAAAATCACAACTGAAACAGCCTGACTGAAGGGACTGCTTTATAAACCAGCTGTTTGAAAGGAGTTTGAGATGTCAGAAAATGCTTTCCCACTGTTCCTACCCTATATAATTTTTTGTAGAAAAAGAATATTTTTTTCTCTGATCCCCTCTTCAATTCTATAAGCTATTTTGCATTTCTAGCTGACTAGATGTTATCTATAGACATGTGACGTACAGCGAGTATTCGACAGAATACCTTCCCTTTGTCATTAAAAGTATTAAAATTCACTGTTATGAAGTAGTAACAGTTTCATAGCATGGCTCTTGGAGCAACATTTCTAC